TAGAATGGTGGGGGGAGTTTTTTTTTAAAAAAAAATGAAAGATCTCTTGTGGGGAAGAAGAAGGAGGGGTTATATTTTATTAAAGGAAAACGCAGTATAATACTACGTTTTCCTTAAACGTAGTACTATACTGCGTTTTCCTATAAAAAAAAATAATTTTTTAGTAAAACGCAGTATATTACTTTAACGGCTAACTTTCCGTTAAAGTAAAATGTAGTATTATACTGCGTTTTATGTATAAATGTAACTTTTTTTAAACTGTATAAACATATTTTAAGTACAAAAATACGTCGTTTCAGTTTCGGGTCCTATTAGCTACTACTACTATAACATTAAAGACGGCCCTGCCGCTATATATAGAGATATGACTAATTTATCTCCCGAGTTGTGTCAATGACAGAGTCAGAGAGTACAAAATCAAGCAGCCGCAAGTTGCAGGTTCCTCGCAAGAAAAGGTTGTTGGCTACTACTACTATAACATTAAAGACGACCCTACCGGAAAAACAAATAATTTCGTTAAATTTATCGAACAAATTAAAATGGCACCATCAACGAAAAGTTTAATTCTATCACTGAAGGTTGTGCTAATATCAGTTGGGGGAGTTTCCTTAGCAATGGTATTAAAAGCGCCAATTCCACGGGGTTTTAACGTATTCCCAACCATTTGGAGTGCCGTTATAGCTTGACTTAGCCCTTTGTATCTCTTTGTTTTTATCAATGGTATAATCTTTGTCATCGCTGCCACTTCTTGTTCCTCGAACCATAAGGAGCCCAACTCATCGAGCGATTGATTTTAATAGTTGATTATTGCTAGAATACCTCCACAATCAGATTTGATAGCGATTACGTAGTCGGAGCTTCACTCAGTCAAAAGTGAAGTAAAGGAAGTGTTTGAGGCAGCACCACCTGTGCAGGTGAACAAACTTTTTACCCAGGTGTTTGAGGTTAAGCTTGTGGTGGTGAATGGCTCTAGAGCTGTAAATGTGAATCCAGAAGATGAAGGTGCGAAAGATGAGCCTGTTGACAGTGATGCGATTATGATTTTGAAACCTGTTGTGGCTCCGTTGCAGGAAGCTGAAACTGAAATTGATACTGAAATTGAAGTTGAAACTGAAATTTACTAGTGTAAATTTGGTCCATTTCTGTTCTGCAATTTGTCCAAAGATGGGGTTTATAATTGGAGAAGAAGAAAGGGGAGGTCAGATTAGTGGGAATGGGTGTAATGCATACCACCCATTTTTGTAAATGGGTCGGATAAGGTAAATGAGTTGAAATAATATCCATTTTTTTCCAGTCAAAGATTGTCACGTGGCCCAGTTAAAAATCGCCACGTCAGTAAATGAAAAACCCACCAATTCTGCTATTAGTCGCGGGGGTATTTTTGTTAATAGAATTAACATCGTGTGTTTTTTAGACGGATAGATGAACGGAGGGTATTTATAAACCATTTAGCAAACGATAGGTGTAGTTTTGACACTTTTCAGTAACATTAAAGACGGCCCTGCCACTATATATACCAACGGAGATAGGGCAATATTTATCTGCCGAGTTGTGTCAATGGCAGAGTTAGCGAGTACAAAATCAAGCAGCCGCAAGTTGCAGATTCCTCGGAAGAAAAGGTCGCTGGCTATTTTAAATAATTTAACGGACGAACTCCTTAATGAGGTCCTCATTAGGCTATCAAATAGCAAAGAAGCAACTCGATGCAAATTGGTTTGCAAACGCTGGTTTTCTCTAATCTCCTCTCATTACTTTTTGACTACCTCTTTCATTCACCATTGCAATAACGATAAAACCTTACTTCCCCTTACACTTGTTTTACGTGATCGAAAAAATTATGTAGAATATGTAGACTTTCTTCCTGGAAAGGGTTTATCGAGTGGTGTGGAAGGGTTTTGGCCCAATGATCACTCAATTTTTTTACAAGCATCCTGTGGCGACTTAATTTTATGCACTGCCCGAGGTCTTTCGGCTAGAATTTACTCCATCTCTAATTTTCCGACTAGGCAATATATTGTTCTCCCCTCTCCCCGTTATATATTTGGTGGAGGTATTGGTTTCTTGATTGTGCCTAATTCTATGGACAATACTCGATACAGAGTATCAGGTCTTACGTTATTTTGATCGTGGTAATTCTAGGATTGATGTCGATATCTTTTCGTCTGAGCAGGAAAGATCGACCAAATTTGATGTTACATCTCCGCGCGCTTTGAATTCCCTAAATAGTAGTAATACTTTACTTGTTGCTTGTGGACGGATGTTATATAGATTGAGTTATAAGAGAGGTGATATGGTTGACTGTGTTCTCGCATTTGATCCATTCAGTAATGATCCTGCACAGATTCTACACATTATTGATTTACCACTTGAGGCTCGTGATATTCCTTGTATGGCTTGTAAATTGGGGATGTGTTAAGGTCGCCTACGGTTTGCTCAAGTAACTCATACAATTACAGCAGGTGGATTGTACCCTTGTATAAGTATATGGGAACTTGGACATTGGTGCACAAGAGAATCGTCCCTACAAACAAGGCGTTAAGAATCCCCCGAGAGCATCGTGATACCAAGAATAGGATTTCTGTACTAGCTTTTCACCCAAATAATATATTTTATATTTTTTCGTGTAGGTACTTATCGTGTTGTCGTATACAATATACGAACAGATAAAGCAGAAAGCTCTCCCGTCCTTCTATATTCAAGCTGCCGGATTCGCCAATGATTTTTGCACCAGAAAATGATAGGTTACAAGTGTTACCAATTATACAAAAATGGTGGCCAACACCAGTAAGAGAATCCGTTTGATCTCAGAGCTTCCCATGATCAGAGAGGGAGGCTTGGTCATTTGGATGTCGATCGTTCTTATCTTTTTCTTCCTGTTGTCCATTTTTGGTTCATTCAAGATGTTTTAGGCCTATGATATATTGTTATATTCCAACCATGCTGACTTTGAATTGTTTTCTGTTTTGCTTAGTAGTTAGCAAAGACCTTTCTTTCAGGTTATTGTGCTCATAATTTTTAACTCTTTAGTTACCCCCACTGTTCAATATCTTTAGTTCCTAGAATAACTTTTATACTGTCATAATAGCATCTTGATCTTGAACCAGCGCTGCTCTCACTATTTCTCCACAAAATTTACTATATGGGAAGAATCATAATACAATATTTTCCCCTATAAAGCTACTATATGCGCTAAGCAGAATGCGAGTTGATTCCCTTTCAGAAGATGGCGGCGACATTTGGATACGAATTTCATACATCTGGGTATAGGCTTCAAATATACTGGCATGAACTTCAGATATTTGAGTATGAACTTCAAATATTTGAATAATAACTTCAGACATTTGGGTATGAAGTGTACACTGTTGTAAGTGAATTGAACTTGAAACCTAACTCGTAGTTAGTTCAAAAAGTAAGAAATGCATTATATATATGCTATACAACCTTGTAAAAATGTACTATATTGCAAATTAATCCAGTTAGACCATCTGGGGATTGGGTAGCCTGAGAATCTATACATGAGACTTTGATGGGAACCCATTTCACTCTGTTTAATAGTTCAAAAACGAGGCATATGAGAGATACAAGTTCTCTCATTCTTTAGATGTGATAAGATGAGATTCCTTTTTCCAGAAATCGACAATACCTTTTTTCATTTTAACGACAATCGGCTACTTTTGCACTAGATTTAAAAAATGGATATACATTTAAAAGCGAAGTATAAAGTGGCCACCCCATGTCATTTCTATGACAAACAAAAGTAGCAATAAACTGCAGAAATATGATAGTACTTATGTTTATAGAATTCTAAGGTCAAAAGTTAAAAGTATGTGGGGCAAGCGAGACGCTTGTTAAACTTGAAATTTTGCCTATAAGACAAGGAGAGACAAAAATTCAAGACCATCCACTTTGAAGGCTATTTGTGTAGACCTAATAATTTTGGCTAAAAACTTAAGTATTCCCATCGTGCGGATCCAAGTCTGGGAAGAGAGGATATGGAGAAGAATGATGGAGTAAGCACAAAAATGACTTGGAAGATTTGAAGACTAGACCAAAAAAAACCTTAAGAAGTAGGAGTATAATTTTCAAAAGAAATTGCAAGAAAACATAGTGGAAGTCGAGAAATGTAAGTGAATCTCGGAAAGACCGTGGGAACTGGGAAGGAAGGAGTAATTTGAGAGTACAATACTGTGTGATAAATCAACAAATTCGAGGACTCAACAATACATATTGGCCAACTGGTACGCTACGACTTTACATTTTGTCATGACATTGACTAAGTAATACTATAACTATCTTTTTCTATCCCAAAATAAAAATAAAAAATACTACTCCTTAAAGAGTAAAAAATGTGAATAAGTAGATCAACATTGTCAAACACTACTAGTTTCCTTACTTAGAAAGTATTTGGCATTTATATAGAATCCGAAGAAGGGTCACACGAAATATGACGTAATACATCATTTACTAGTCTCTTTACATAGCATATCAAATATAAATATTTATTTTACATCAGATTAATTATTTTAACTTTAATATGAAATAAAAATATAAGTTTAAAAAACTGGATTGAGTAGTGTTTAAGTGAAATAATAATTTGTACTCACCAAACATTAATTTTCTTAAATGACATTCATGTTGAAAACAACTGAATCAATTTCCAAATTACCTTTTTTCACCAAATATTATCCAATAAAAAAAAGGGGACAAGGGGAAAAAAAAGAAGAGAGAGAGAGAGAGGAAAATGTGGGAAAGCGGTGAAGAGAAAAGTTCCTCGAGAGTGGAGAGTCCCAGATTACTTTCCCTTTTATCTGTGTAGCAAACAATAGATAGCAGTTGCTTTGCTCTCTGTTTAATCTTAGATTTTAACTCCCACAACACGACACCATTTTCGATCTGACTGATATTGTCTTTTTTCATCTACAAAAAAACACGCACTCATTTATCTCCTGTCGCTATCTCTTATGATCAAAAGTACAAGGATATTTTGAGGCGGTGGACTGAATACAAAGCCCAATTTGTAGACTGACTTATTTCTGATTAAGACTTTTAATTTCAGAACTGCTGCAATTTTTTTACAGGTATCTGATCCTTACTCAGCTAGATGTTCAAACTGTCTATCACTAATTTGGGTGTTTATTGGGGGTTATCTGTCAAGGGTTTCTGTTAAACCCTTTAGCTTAATTGAGTCGACCCATAGCAAAGAAATTGGTGCACATCGCTGTAATACTTGCTAGAGTTTCAATAATTAGTCTTTAACTACGATATTTTGATTCTCCGTACCCACAAACGGTGAATGAAGTAATTTTGTAGACAAATCCTGATGGTAGTATGTATTGTGTAGGCATTTAAGTGGGTGACCTTCTATTGGTAAATGATCTGAAAAAGGAGGTTTTTTTTAAAATGGCTATGGTTAGCAAAACCAGAACTATGCTGGAGGGTCTGGTTAAAGATGGGTCATTTAAATGGTTGACAAAAAACCCGAGTTCACTTGATGAAGATTTAGAGGAGATGGGGTCTTCATCCACTGGCAAGAACTGGTTGCCTGAGCTATCTCCTGTTGCAAATGTCGTTATCCGGAAATGCTCAAAGTAAGCTTCTTGTTCTTTCCTGTCTTTCAAACACAATTCGTAATCTTTAACGATATTGATTGCTTCTAACAGATTCAGTGTAATTGAGCTGATGGATGCATTTAGCAGGAACAAAAGCATTGAGTTGGCTGTTGTGTTCTATTTTATGTCTCGTGATATGAATAACCAAAATCTGATTTTGTATGCAGAATCCTTGATATTTCCATGAGTCAACTTCAAGAAAACTTTGATGCAGAGGCTTCTGATTCCATAAAGCATACTCAGTATGCTAGGAACTTCTTGGAATACTGTTGCTTCAGGGCTCTTGCCTTGTCTATACAAGTAAATGGTTACCTAGGCGACAAACTGTTTCGGCGCCTTACATTTGACATGATGGTTGCATGGGAGTTTCCAGCAGCTTCTAGCCAGCCTTTCGCCAGTGTATGAGATTACTTTTCCATGTTTTCCTTTACTCTACAGAATAGTTTTATAGTTACATAAGTTGTTGAACACCACTGAACTTTAGTTTATAGTGCGGAATATTCATGAAATCCTTGCCTGGTCCATTAGTTCAATGTTTGTTGTTCTCCCTCATCTGGGTTGTTATCTGACATTTCATTTAATTATAGATGGATGAAGATGTCACTGCTGGCTCAGAGGCTTTTTCCCGTATTGCTTCAGCAGTTCCTATAATTGCCAATGTGATAGTTACTGATAGCATTTTCGGTGTGCTTACGTCGTCAACAGGTGGTCGACTTCTTTTCTCAGTTTATGATAAGTACCTGACTAATTTGGAAAGGTACTACCAACTTTAGCGCTTTATTACTTGCAAAAATTTGAGTTAAATGCTTTACGAGTTTTATTTATTTTTGTGCTTGTGCTGGCCTCTGTTTGTGGTTCATCTTCCAACTGACTTATCAGATCATAATATTTTTTAAACAAATTTTAAACAAAAATTACATCATAGGTTCTAGTGATAGATTTTCATGTCTAACCTGGGTAATGTAATCGAGGCGAATAGCTCAGACGTCTATATTTATCCCAACACATAACATAGGTGCTCGAATTAACCAAGGGATCACATAATGCTGTTTAGCCCCGTTATGATTTATCTACATACGTTAGGTACTATATAAACTGCATTTATGTTGCCAATTTCTGAGCATCCTGCAGTTACCCTCGGTGGTATGGTGTTAAGTGCAGCAAGTAGATATATACCATGTATAATAAAGTACATTAGAGACTGAGTTGGAAAGGTCCCTTACAATGGTTAGAATTGACCCCAATTAGACCTCCCCCCCTGTCTGTGTTCCTTCCACTTTGTCTAGTGGAATGCTTAAATAATAGATTATAAGCTTCTTTTGCTATCATTTATGTCTTGCCTAAGCTCCAGTTGAGAGAGGAGTACTAGTCTGAAACGTAGTAGCATGGGTGGTTTGACACGGAAGATTATCGTATCAGCCTATGTGTGCTTGCATTGGGGTGCTCTGTAGTTTATTATTGTTAGGTAATCTTATTGGAGTGGTGATAGTAGTGGTCTTTCTAGTAACTTTGAATTGAAGTGATGTGATTCAGAATGCATCTTTGCTTTAGTGTTCCTTTATGGCATTCTTATTAGCAGGCCATCCATAATCCTCGGTTGAGAATGTTGCTTGTTTGGGAACTTTTTCAGGGCTATTAAAAAATTTAAGACCCAATCTGAGTCGTCCCATCTTTCTGCCTTACGTGCAGCAAGAGGGGAGAAAATTCTGGAGCTGGATGGCACTGTGACAACCCAGCCGGTGCTTGAACACGTGGGAATTTCGGCATGGCCCGGTATGTTTTTGTGGATAGCAATGGTTGTATTGCTTGAAATTCTTATCTTCGGAGCAGAAAGGAATGATATCAGACTTGGAATTTGAGCAGATTACGTGCATCTATTAGCTTTTCTGATATATTTTGTGGCCATGTATTTGTAATTTTCAGGTCGGCTGACTTTGACAGATCATGCTGTCTACTTTGAGGCACTTCGTGTTGTGTCTTACGACAAGGCAAAGATATATGATCTGTCAGATGATCTAAACCAGATTGTTAAACCGGAGCTAACTGGACCATGGGGCACAAGACTCTTTGATAAAGCAGTCTTGTATAAATCAGTTTCCTTGTAAGGCATGACACATGATGACTCCTATGTGGGTCATACTTCTCTACAAAATCTAATGTATTTCTTCTATTAAGACTATTTTCTAGTTCAAGCAGCCGGCAAACTTGTTAATGGTCTGCTGAAAATATTGTAGGTCAGAACCTGTTATAATGGAGTTTCCTGAGCTTAAAGGACATACACGTCGTGACTATTGGTTAGCAATTATTCGGGAAGTTCTACATGTGCATCAGTTCATACTTATGTTCCAGATTACTGGAATAGAGCGTGATGAGGCGCTTCTGAAAGCTATATTTGGTATATTGCGAGTACAAGCCCTGAAGGATATGAGCGCTAAACAACCACTTTGTTATGAGGATCTTCTTATGTTCAATGTATGTGATCAGCTTCCCGGGGGAGACCTTATATTAGAAACAATTGCAAATAGGTCAACTGTAAGGGAATCGGCGCGGACAAACTCTCCCAAACCTAAAAACAGAATGTACTCAATTTCGGCTTCAGCCTTGGCTTCCAACCTGGGTTTTGTTTTCGGAACAAGTTCTCATGTCCCTAATGAGACAGGAATTGTTGTGGGTGAAATTGCTGTGGGGGAGATGACTCCCTTGGAAAAAGCAGTTAAGGAATCCAGAAGCAACTATAAAAAAGTAGTGCAAGCACAAGCTACGGTTGATGGAGTGAAAGTTGATGGTCTTGACACCAACTTGGCAGTGATGAAGGTATTAATAACAACTACAGTGGCTTCGAAATAAATAGAAAGGTCGAAGAGGATAAATTGAATACAATCTTTTGCCATTTTATTGAGACATTGCGAGTGGATCTGCTAATTGTTACTCCCTCTGTTTCAATTGAGATGACACATTTTCCTTATTAGTTCGTTCTAATAAAAAATGACACATTTCTACAGTTGGAAATAATTCAACTTTAAACTCTTCATTTTACCCATTTTATCCTTAATGAGAAGCTTTTATAACCACACAAATGTCATGGCCCCACAAAGCTTTTACCACTTAAGCTTTTAAGACCACAAGTTTCAAAAGTCTTCTTCTTTTTCTTAAACGCCGTGCCGAGTCAAATGGACAAAATTGAAGCGGAGGGAGTTTTGACATGCTTGTTGTCTTCCCGTTTACAAAATTTTATGCTGTCGCCTTCTCATAGCTCAATCTTTGGAATAAAACCATTGGAGTCTCTTTACAATTAATTTTTTTCCTTTCTTGATGAGCTATATCTTAATCTGCGTGAGTTACCTCTCATACTAATCCTTAAGATTCATTGCAGGAGTTGCTCTCTCCTATGATGCAGCTTGGAAATTGGATTCTTCTTCTAGCTTACTGGGAGGACCCTTTTAAGTCCATGATTTTCTGCTCGGTTTTCTCATACATTATAGTCAGGTAAGTTGGTAGTTGGCTAATATCTCTGTAATGGGCCATCATAAAGAAAAGGACTTAAATACATGTGATTTTCTCTGGCACTCCACTATATCATCAACCTACGATTGTCTGGTGTATTCTCTAAATAGCTGATTGCTTCTTCAGATTTAGT